ATAGATGAGAAAACAGAACCTTGAAGAGGTTGTCATTTATTTGTTCCACACACATGTATACACACATATACAATATACACACACACTCTCTCTCACCCCTTTGTTCTTTTCAGCTTATCTCTTCATCACCTCTCCACCACCTCTTTATTATCTCCTCATCATCTCCTCATCATCTCTCCATCATCTCTCCATCATCTCTCCATCATCTCTTCATCATCTCTCAATCATCTCTTCATCATCTCCTCATCATCTCTTCATCTCTTCATCTCTAATCATCATCTCTTCATATCTACCTGCTCTCTCCATCAACCAACACCATGGGCACCCGCCATCTCATTTGCATCTTCTACAAAGGCCAGTTCATCGTCATCCAATATGGCCAATGGGATGGCTATCTCGACGGTCAGGGCAAAGAGATCCTGCATTTCATCCAAGTTGAGGAAAACCTCCAGCGTCTCACCGCGGGTCTCGCTCACATTTACTCTCCCACCAGCGAAGACATAAAGGCAATCAATGCCGAGCTCGATGCGGACAAGGAGAAAAACAATTCATCCACCACTGCCCGGTTCAGCGTCTTCGATACCCCTCTGAATCGGCTCTACCCTTCATTGTCTCGTGACACGGGTGCCAAAATCCTAGAAGTCATCGCCAAAGCTTCACCTGAAAAAAGGGTCCCTATCCAGAAGGATACGGATTTTATTGGAGATGGGTCCTGTGAATGGGTGTATGTCGTTGATCTGGACCAACGTGTGTTCGAGGTGTATGAGGGTAACGTGGACAAGGCCAGTCAGCCTGGGAATCGATTCATGGATTTCGTCAAGACTGGCAAATATATCCCCAATTTGGTGAACAGCTTTTCTCTCAATGCCTTGCCTGCTACTGACGAGGAATTTTACGCTGCCATGGAGACCGAGTAGCGAGAGTCAATCAGATCGGATCCTTCGTTCAGAAGGGAAATCATAATTCCGGTTTGACAAGGGCGAAAAAAACGGTTGGGAAAGAAGAAAAAGCCATGCAAGGTTCTGGGGTATTATATCTCTGTTTTCTTTTCTTTCTATTTTTCTGCTTTTCTTTTTTCTTGTGCTTCCCCCTTCTCCTGAATCGGATGAGGTTGTCCAATGGATGCATTGGCATGGGGAAGTTGAAACACGGAGTTTGTGGCCCCTCCACATGAACTAGTTACGGAGTTACCTTTTTAACACAGTTTCATCCAACTGCATGAAAAAAAAGTTTATTATATGATAAAACCAACATCCAGTTTCCCGGATTTCGTTCAACAGCTTTCCGATTCATATGATTGTATGTTTGGTTTGCTGGGCATGAAGGGGAATTTAGATAATGATAAGCCCCTAAATAAGCACTGGAAATATTTACTCGTTAGAAGTGTCGGTAAAAGGCAGTTAATTGGGTAAGATATGAAGCTATAAAGTTATTGTTCAGCCAGAATTCACCTCGTCCCCAGTCAAATAATATGCATCCCCACGCGTGCTTCTCTTGCCAACTCACTCACTACCACGCCGCTCCAAATTCCGACCGAACAATCTCAAAGCTGCCAATGTATGCAGATGCGGGGGAAATTAATGGGAAATATGTTTGGGCAGAGGCAAAGGAAAGGAAAAGAACCAGATAAGAACAAGACGACTCAGTGTTAAAACGCAGGGAGAAAAGGACAACAAGGAACATGAAACCACCCCGGACGCGACCCTAGCCATATTCCGTCGCCACACACCTCCGTCAGAGAGAACGCATAAAGTGAATTTTGAGAATTGAAAAACACCAGAGACCAACGGCCAACAATCCCTATTTTGTCGGCCTGGCATAGTTCAATCCTCAATAATTGTCGTTCCAACCAACCACTCTTCAACTCTCCAGATGTTCCTTGCGTCAAAAGGACAAAAAATACCAATGAACGTAGAAAACGCGTGCGAAACAACAAAATTTCGAATTGGGATAAAACAAATAAGCAGAAGGGGAGGGGGGTTGTGAAAGGGAAACAAGAACCAGATAATCGAGGATCAAACGATGACGCGCCCCAGTAGGTGGGTGGTCCAAAGGTAAATGTTTCGTGTCCGTCGATACTTAGGCTCATGCAAGAGGTAGATTCTTCGACAGGCCTTAGCCCAGTAGCATGTCAAAGATAAACCACCTAAATGTTCTGAAAGCAACGGTTGCTCCTCCGTAAAACCAATATCGTAGGATCATGACCATCATTGATAAATCTGATCAGAAAGGATGCGGTGGCGTTCCATAAAAGAGAGAAGGGAACTGTTTGGAACGGCTCCTAATGAAAATATCAAACAGTGACGGAGATTTCAGAACAAATAAACAGTAGCCCACAAAACAGATATTGAAGGCCTGTAATATGAGAGGAGAATAATGGTCGTGTCAAATCAACTAATAACCTGGGGGCTTTGGTTGTCTCTGGTAAACAGTGGGATATGATGTAGGTTTTGATGACGAACGCAATCTACAAATATCGTCCGCTATGAGATTAGTTAGATTCTCGGATTAGAAAATGGTTCCCATGGCTAGCGTTACAACACTTATAGCACAAAAGGAATGTTCCTCTCGGAACAAAGATGCAGGTACTTACATCCGTTCGGTACCACCACGGCCAGTTGGTTTATTAGGCTTGGCTGGCTGTTGTGGGGGAATAATACCACTAGTAGGAGCATTATTGCCGGTGGTCAAGCGACGCTGGTCGTTCTCAGTGGCCTGGGCGATTGCCTGGGCATTCTTCTGGTACTTGTAGACCGTCCAGTCGAAAACATAGTCATACTGGAAGGATTCGCGGACAAAAAGGTCTCGGAAGATCTTACGCAGGTAAGAGTAATCAGGCTTGTCGTCGAATCTAAGGGAACGAGTGTAGTTGAGATAGACTGCGAATTCATTGGGGAACCCACGACAGAGGACTTCGGTGGGGGTAGTCATCTTCTTTTCCATGATACGGTCATATTTCTGCTTCTTGGTAGCAGCCTTGAGGCCTTGCCAGGGAAGTGATCCGCGACAGAAATAGAGCATGACATATCCAAGGGACTCCATGTCATCACGACGGGACTGTTCGACTCCCAAGTGAGTGTTAATGCTGGCGTAACGAGCAGTACCAGTCAAATTCTTGTTCTCACGGTATGGAATATGGAAATGTGTCTTGGGGTCACGGTATTTCTTCGCAAGACCAAAATCAATGACATTGACCTGGTTTCCACGTTTTCCAATCCCCATGAGAAAGTTGTCGGGCTTGATATCACGGTGGATAAAGGACTTAGCGTGGATGTATTCGATACGCGAGATGAGCTGGTCTGCCAGGAGAAGGACGGTCTTCAGAGAGAATTTGCGGTTGCAAAAGTTGAACAAGTCCTCGAGACTTGGGCCGAGAAGGTCAATAACCATAGCGTTGTAATCACATTCGGTTCCGAACCAACGAACGAAAGGAATCCCCACGCCACCAGCAAGAGACTTGTAGACACGGGCTTCATATTCAAGTTGAGGGTGTTTCGCCTTGACACTCTCAAGTTTAATTGCAATTTCCTCGCCCGAAATGATGTTGGTACCTGCAAATAGGTTAATATAAAGCGAGAGTGGAGAGGGAGAGTATATATATATATTTCTTGAAATAGGAAAAGAAAGTATAAGAAAAGAGAAGGAAATATACATACCAAGATAGATGTCACCGAAGCTACCACTACCAATCTTTCGACCGATGCGGTACTTGTTCCCAACACGAAGATCCTGGACGTTCTGTTAGCTGAAATTAATGTTTGAAAACGTTTTGTAGATAGCTATATCCTAGATATATATCTAAAGGGTTTTTGTATTTCTACAAATAGAACAGATGATCTCACCATTGTAGTCATTTTGGCGGTTGGTTTGAGAGAGCTTTCACACTCTCAACAACTGGAATTGCTAGAGCTAGAGTAAGGGTCAAGGAGGAGTTGGATAAGTGGTGATCAGATAAGGTCGAATGTTGGTTGCTAGTTTTGTTGTCCTTCGAGAGGTGGGGAGGACAGGATAAACAGAGATCTAGTAGCCGGCACTAATTTCTCACGAAAGTCGAGTAAGTATTAATTATAGAAGTGTGTGTGTGGTGTGTTGTGTGTTGTGTGTTGTGTGTTGTGTGTTGTGTGTTGTGCGTTGTGGTTGGGATTGAAGAGGATGGGAGTGGGAAAAGCCTGGTTGGGCGGCAGTTGTAGTTTTGGAGGGTCTGAGGCAAGGCTGGCTGCAGGCGGTTAGGGAAATCCAGCGAAAACGGCGGTCTTACCTTGGATCAATGAATAATGAAGCCAGCAATAATAAGCAACGACTCAAAGAGCCCCAAATGACTCCCAGGAAGGGAGTAAGATATGGTGGAGGTTGTTGATATGGGGGAGAGTTGGCAAGAGAAAGGTGAGAGAGAGGGAGAGAGGGTAGAAGAGATGTCGGTGAGAGGGAGAGAGAGAGAGAGGAGAGTGAAGGGAGTGAGGGAGAGAGGGCAGCGCGGGCAGTGCGCCAGGCAAGAAACCTTTTGGGTTTAGTGTGTTTGCTGGCCGTCACGTGGCATTGCCTTCTCTTCACTTCTTCAGGTAATTATTAAATCACACACCAGGCTTGGGCTGGGCTGGGGGGCTTTCTTAGGCGCCTAAAAAGTCAGATGGCTCGAAAATACTGTCATAGGGCGTGTGATGGGCATGGTCTGTATCTTCCATTTCCATCATTTTCTTTCTATTGCATCTTTCAAAGCAAACTCGCATATTCTATTTATAGCTACTTTGCAAACAGGAATATTGGAATGTCCGTCCTGTTTGCTACGAGGTATTTTAGCTGTAACTCAACTGACTACAGAATAAATTAGGTTTAAAGTTAGGGCATCGTCAAACAATGATAGAATCTTGACTTCTTGAGCCTCACAAATAAATAAATATTATAAACAAACCATCAACTTTGGTCTTTCCAAAGGGAATTCAGTTAGAGCCATAAGTACTCTGTACTAATCATTGCATTGGCAACTTCACAGCCATATCCTCTCCGATGTGGTGTATCGGTAACATCATTGTCTCTCATTCTGAGGACACAATAGCGCCGGGTTCGACTCCCGGCATCGGAATTTTCTTTTGGCTCCTTCATCTCCCTTTTTTTCCCCTTCATCAATCGTGGTTTATTAAATTTTTGTGTTAACTATCTGGAGTGTCCTTTTTTGGCACGTTGTCATGATGATCCATGGAAGTATTCCCCAATACTTCTAGCAGCACTGTCCCAAGAATTCCACTCCCTTGCTTAATACATTGGACTTTTTATTTTTTTGAAAAAATTAATCTGTATGTATTACATCTCATTTACACATACAAGCTATTTAACTAGCTGGTTAGATGCTGACTTCTCTCTTGTACTCTGCGATGTATAGGAGTATCAGGGTTAAATCCTTCCATGGTTTTGGTTGAGAGACAAGCAACGGAAATTTTTTCCCGAATAACTCGGTAGTTTGGTTGTCAAACAGCACAATCCTAGGGGATCATGATCCATACCTGTTAGTGTCACAACAAGAGACCAATGGAATGGTAACACGGTGGGCAAACTTGTCCAGATCACGGAGGACATTACAAGCTAGGTTCCTCCAATTCCCTGTAAAAGGATGGATCATCAACATGCCACGGAGGTTCTCTTGGCTGGAACTGAACAAACGACCTTTCGATCGAATCAAAACGCATCCAGGGGGCCACCAGTGTACTCAGTAGGACAGAGTAACCCTCCTTGGTTTGGCCCCCAGTCAATCACTTGTTCATGCAGGTGACAATCAATCAATGTGGCACCTGTTCCTAAAATAGATCTTCGTTTGTTTTCCTTGACAAACAACATAGCTATCAATTCATGTTTCTCAGCTTTATTGAATCCACTATAATTGGTTATCTCAAGATGGATGGAATACTAGATAGTTATTACCGGGGTTAGAGGTACAAACCAACTTACAGATATTAACATGGAGTAACATATGTACAATTACAACTAAGGGTGTGTTGACCAAAACTATTTCATAATAAGAATATCAAAAATATTAAACCAGCGAAATGGGATATCTGTGTGAGGCCATAAAAGATGGAAGGGTAGGAAACAAGGCAAGGGCTCGAAGCGAAACTGAAGATTTTGGAAGGAAATAGCACATTTGAATGATAATATGTGTAATATGCGATGCAGAGAAAGGCCGAAACCTGAAGATAGTAGTAGAAAGAACAAGTGGAATCAGTAGGTGTAAACAGTTCAGTTTACCTTCTTGTCTCCCATTTTATAGTCGCCTGTTGCTAACCAGAGATAATATGGCACATACATGATGTTAGAAATATAAAGAGAAGAGGAACAGGATTGGAAGATAATGGAGTTAAAGAGAGCAAAAATCATTTGGAAAATTTCATTATGTGGTGCAAGGTCTTAAAGGGGGGAAGGGGGGGGGGAGCAATGGATAACAGACGAGGAGAAAAAAAAATGTGCAATAAAACCGTGGCCCAAGACGTGTCCTACAGAGCCGGAAAGTAGAAATTATATGAAGAGGAAAGAAAACACTTAGGAATACATAGAAAAGTGGATACACAACGGAAAAAGGAGGAAAAAAAAGAGACAAATGTAGAAAAAGGGACCAAACCGTAGTGGCCATTCGGATTAAGTTGGTACAAGAAATTAGAAAATGCCCAGGAAATTATCCCATTGGGAAAAATAAACAGAAAAAATAAAATAAAATTGTAGTGGTATCAATTCGGCATCAGACCATAAAATTGTAAAAGCATACCCCCATTAACTGCAAGATATGTTCGCACCACCCGCTCGGCGCAGATCACTAGAGTATTCACGAAATCTTCATCTGCCCACATTTATATCATGTTCCCGGCCACGGGTGTGGAGGCGGAAGCTGCTGTAGTCGTCACGCTACCTTGTGGAGGCCGAACAGGGGCTTCCGGCGTGGATTCCTCTTCTTCTTCTAATCGGCGCCTCCAACTGGCAAGGCTATCACTTAGTCCCTCGCCGTATGTTTCTTTCGTTGGTGTGCGATCGAAATCAAACTGTGTGCTTAATCTGTAATTTCGGTTGGTTGATTCCCAGTGCGTTCTGAGAGCATCGAGTTCATTGGCGAGAGAATCAAGTGCAAGGGATCCGCGATGATTTAGAAACGTGTCGTCCTGCGAAACAGTGCTTCCGGCTCGAGAGCGGTGTACACCACCGCCTGCAGTGGCGGTGGAGGCGTTGCTATGTGTGCGGCTCAAGATGGGAATCCCGTTTGTATGAAGACCAGGGACTTGTTGGGATTGGCGTCGGTAGTTAGTCACTGACGATTCGACTTGGTCTAGGAGCATGGATACTTTCTTCTCCGCGTCAACAGCGCGGGTTTCAAGAAGGGAGTTCTCTTTCTTTAGTTGTTCCAAGTCAAGACGGCTCTTTTCGGTGACGGTTGAAAACTCGGTTTTAAGGGATTGATGGTCAGAACGGGCTTGCTCACAATCAGCCTGAGCTGTGGCAAGCTTGTCTTGAACGTTGGACAATTGACTTTGCAGAGCTAAGAGGGAGCTACTAGTCGATGCTTGCAATTCAGAAAGGGATTGTTCCAGCTTCTCACGTTCATTCTCCCATTCGGCCGAGGTGCCTTGAGACGTCTCAGAAGATTTCAAAGCGGCGTCAAGTTCAGCTTGAAGCTTTGTAGTCTGAGACTTGTACTTGGCGAGTTCGTCTTTCATTCGTTTCAGCATCTTCTCTGTTCCCTTGACGTAATGAACAGCAGATTGGTAGTCATTTTCCAGTTGCTCTAACTTTTCGTGGTACGCACGGTCGGCTTCTTGCTCTCTGTACTCAAAAGTAGCTTTCGTCTCTTCATGAGCCTTGAAGCTGGACTGCAATTGCTGCTCCAACTCACGGAGTCGATTTTGTTCTGGGGTTCCGAATCGAGAACCGGGTGAGTCCAGCAGAGGAGACCGTCGAGTGTCAGACATGTTCACACCTCGCTCGCTAAGGAGGTCCTTCAGAGCACCGTGCTGTATCGCCAAGGCGCTTGAATCGCGTTGTTGGCTCTCCAGCTGGGCTTTAACATCTCGGTTTTCCGCACTGATAGACTGGTTCTCCTTGAGTGTAGATTGCAGCTGTCTTCTTAGCTGTAGCCCTTCTCGGCTGCTCTGTTCCTGGTAGGTTTCTAGACCCGCAATCCTTTCTTCTGCACGCCGAAGTTTCTCGGATGCGGAATCTGCTGCCTTCTGGCTGGTCTTAACTAGTTCATTGGCGCGATCAACCTGAGACTGTAATGCTTTAACTCGTTGGTCAAGCAAGGTACTATTGCCAAGATCAGAACTACGGGAGGATACGCGATCCAAACCGCCCAAAAATGCTGCCCTATGACTCTCTGCTTCCCTGGCGTGCGTTTCGGCCAGTTCTTCTGCTTCTTTAAGTCGACGCGTGATGGTTTCTAATTCTGAAGTACGTTCTTCATGCTCGGCCTTTAGCTGCAGCAATTTCCTTTCAAAGGTTTCACGCTGCTCTCGCTCAGTTTCTAGCTGCCGCTCCATTACCACAGCCTTTGCCGTGGAAGCGTTGACAGCGTCCCGAAGAGAATCCACGTTGAGATCGTGGTATTGTAACCGGTCAATAGTATCCTCAAGTTTTTTGGCCAGTTCTGCTTTGTCCACTTCAAGTAATTTCGCTGAAGATTCAGCCGCGGAACGTGCGGCAGCCTCTTCACGGAAAGAAGATTGGAGTGCATGAAGTTCCGCACGGATACTCTCTAATTCAAGTGGATTACTTTGCATTTCCAACTCACTGAGTCTCTTATTTGCAACTTCATGAAGTTCTTCGGCAAATTCTTTTGCTCTCTTTTCTTCAGAAAGTTCCGATGTCAATGATTCAATCTTACTCCTCAGCTCATTTTGGAGAGTAAGGGCGAGAGCTAGCCGTCGTCTCACCTCAGCTGCTCCGTTCGAATGGGTATCATCTAAACCACGTCCACCCTCGGATTGAGGACTATCTTGAGATGTGTGAGCAGCAAGCTTCGTTCGAGAGTAAGCAGCTTCATTTAAAGCAGCGTCTCGCTGATGTTCGGCTTCGGCTACTCGTTTGGACGCAATGGCTGCCTGGCGATCTACATTGGTCTGCATTTTGGCTAGTTCGGCTTTCATGTTGAGTAAGGCCTCGATCAAAGGACGATCAGACTCTGTAAAAGACTCTAAAGGCCGCTCCTCCAGACTCGGAATATTAGTGGATGGGCTGTATCCTGCCTTGCGTGCTAGTGCAAGCTCAGATATGTACCACGCATTTCGAGTTTTCATCGATTCCAGTTCTTTTATTAATGCTTCTTGATGGGGAGTGAGCCGGGGGGAACGTGGCTCGTCACCCATATTTCTAGAATTCCTAAAACTTCGGGTTTCGGACCCGAGGATTGACTCATCAACGCTCTCGATCGAATTTTGTTGCCTTTGTTGTCTCAGCGATCGCTGTCGGGCTGGAGCGACTAGCGGGGCAGCCTCACCAGCTTCCATTGCTCGGGCTGAGAGCCTTGACGAATTCTGTTGGGTAGGGGTTCGCCGCCCAGCATTTACTGGACTGTGTTCACGGCGGCTGCCACCGGATGCATCTCTGTATCCAGCATGCTGTCGGTCCTTGTCAGATTTGCCCGGCTCCGAAGGAGACCCGGTACCTCTATCTGGTTTCCCAGACACCTTTTTACTGGACTGAGGAGGATAAGCATTTGACCTTGGATGAGGTGCTTGTCCAGGTGGAGGAGGGCCTGCTGGAGCTTGTGCAATGGATGCTCGGGGTAATCGAGAATTTGGCCCTCCGGGAGCAGGGCTACCTACTCCATCTCTGCCAGGAGGTGGACCCCTTCTTTGCATGTCGGGGCTTGCGTTTTGGGCTTCGCGTGAGGTTCTCCCGGAGGCCCCGCCTTGTCTCTCGTTCGCTCCAATTCTTCTTGGGGGTTTATCTGTAGTTGGAGAAGTAGGTGCACGATCATCGAGGTACCGAATCTTTGCTGTATCCAAAACATAAACCAGGCCAAGTTCAAGAGGGTCTCGTGGTGCGGAGCTTGGTTCTCCAGCAAGAACCACGATTTGTTTCCCTACGGAGGTCATGCTATGTCCAGAA